TTTTTTTAAGTAATGGTTGTTCATGGAATACCTCTATTACTTAGGGTTTTCCGAAGAGCCGTTTTTTCCGAGGAGTCGTTTTTTTGAGGAGCCGTTTCTCTCAAGAAATCCATTTTCAACAAGCCCTGTAGATCGCCGTTTTCGTGCAGCGTGGGCATAGAGTTTTTGAAGTGATTTCTTAGAGGAATTAAGTCCCTCACGTGCCTATACCTGTACCTCCACATGACGAAGAAAACTGAATTTCTAGCCTCTATCTACCTTGATTCCAGACTAGGATCTGCAACTTCCATTTGTAACTTCCTTCGTCAAGTGAAAATGAATGACTATCGTACTCTAGCTTTTTGTCGGAACTGAGGCTTGTATAGACTTTTATTTATAACTTTTATTACCTTTTCTATGAAATCTGTTTTATGGTCAATTACCGTAATTGATTATTTTTACTTTTAACTTTCTTGACACCGAAGTGAACTTTAAATAATTATTTCTGATTTTTAATTTATCGAATTTATTATAGATTTATCTTTGCTTAACTTCTGGTACCGCCATAATTAAAAAATGTATATTCTATTATTCATAATCAATAATCTGAGCTGAGGCCAAGGTTGGACAATGTATTCTGAATTTGAAATTATTGAGTAAGTGCCTACATCGTCAAAGATTGATCAATTTTTTACTTGGGTTCTATAATAACTTATATACCTGAGAATTTCGGTTAAATCTCCATTAAGCCTTCAACGTTTAACCCTTGATTTCATACAGTTTTAATTTGATTTTAGTGATTTTATTTTTCAGGCAGCAGCTGACCATATTTATCCATATAATAATACTATAATTTTCAATTATTAATTTTTTAATAATTTTCTGGAAACTTAAATCCTTCATATTTTTATTTCAAATTAATGATATGGCCAGCGGCTGTTAAAGAACTTATATGGCAAGTATATTGAGGTACATTGTAATATTATTATTATTTTTTTTTTACATTTGATGAATCTGATTGAAAGTTAACCTTAACAATTGATTTTATAGAATTATTCATTTTTGACCTCACTGTGAAAATATATACCATTTTGAATTGAGAATTACTTGAGTGTTTTATTGGTTTTACCTATGTCAAGATTTGGTTGAGTTATATGCCTTATTTATTTCCGTTTCAGAATTATCTATTACTGATTACATTACATATTATTTGCTGATTATTTTTTTCAGGTGTGTTCCTGAATTTTCACACTTCAATATTTTATGTAATTTAATTATTATTTTTTTTCAAATTCAGTGGCGGCCTTGCAATTCTGTACTTATTAAGCTATTGACTCGCCCCTAATAATTATTCGCTGAGTAAACTAAGCATATTATGGACTCCTTGTTAATTCTTTAGCAAAAGGGGTTACAGTTTTTAAGTATGCTAACATTTAAATCAGTTTAATAAAGCATAGTAGGTACTTACACTTGTTACAAGAAAATTAGTCCGTGAAAATCAAAAATGCCAGAGATAGAAACAATGTAGCCTTTGCTTTGAAAACAGGGTGCAATGTATCAGGCTATACTAGTGAAGTGAGTTAAAAATAAACTATAGAAATACATTAGGGAAAATAATGAAAGATTTAGTAGAGCCGGACTCAACAGTAAACTATATCATTCAATGGGAAGAACTTTAAATAAATAAATTTCAGCATTTACTTTAAATTTATATGGTAGCTTTGAGCCACATAGGTAACCAATCAAAAGCGAGATTGCTCGTATTTTAACAAATAGAAAATCTGTAAATACATAATCAAGGATCCCTTATCGAAATTCAAAATGTGCTAGGCAAAGCAACCTACTTTGAAAGTACAACCGGGAAAAATGTTTGGATTTTCGCTTTAAGTGTAATGGCTAAAAAGAAATTGGAAAACTTCAGATAATAATTTGACTTGGCGAAAATAGGAAGTTTGCGGTAAAAAAAGCTATACGAAGGTTTTGTAAATTGTACTAGATAAAATAAGGATAATTGGATTTGTTATCGTATGGCAAATTCAAGCTTTTCAAATTGTATGAATTTAAAGCGATCCAAATAGTTTGCTTCAAATTTGGAATTGGGAAAAATAGTTCTACTTCAGCAAAAATCTCGAACAAAATAGATTCAGTTACCTACCAATAAAATTTTCACAAAACTGTAGCTTCATTGTATTTAATTTGAAAATTATCTGGATACAATAAACAAAATAAATCCTTATCGATATCTCTATAAAATCGTAACTTATCTGTATGGTAGACAGACGTCAAGTGTCAATATATCATACACAACACTATAGTCGGCGGCATGTGAAATAATCACACTTTAATCCCTTGAGTAGTCGAATAAGTCGGTTGTTGTCTGGTAAAAAGATTATTTTATTTACGACTAATGTATAATGTGCGTATTATATTTGTGATTTTGGCAGTATAATGACATATGTTATTCCTCCAGGGATTAATGAGGAGTAGCGGGATCAATGGTCATTATTCCACAAAAGTGTCAGTGTCAAACGTGTAGTGCTTGTGGATTTGTATTGAAAATTATGAGACGGATGAAATTTGTTCATTGAAAATCTCAAATAAATTAATTTGTCGTAAATAAAGTAGAGTATACTACTCGCAATAATGGCTATTATTCCCTCGGAATGTTACTCCCTCGCCGCTAACGCGGCTCAGTTCGTAATAATCCTCGGGAATAATAGCTATCATTATTGACTCGTGGTATAATCTACTATTACTTTGCACATTCTCATCTTACGACAATAATCGAGCACTTTCAGCTGAACTTTTAAACCTAGATCGGGAATATATTTTTTATGTAAAAACTAACCTTTTCTGAGTCTCAATGACAAATTTTTAGTGGGTTTTCGCGCAATGCCGATTCATTCCTCAGTTAAGATAATACCGGAAAAGATTGTCAGGAACCATATGAAATAGACTGAATGAATTACTGTTTCTGTATACTGATAAAAATACACTTACTCCCCTGGTGAGTAACTGTATTTCAATTTTTTTTTCTATAGATGCATAATTCTTTACAAACTTTCTAAAAAATATGCTTAATACTTTTTGGTGTCGGAAACTGCCGTGCTGCGTCAACTTTAGCTTGACCTAGCCAGAAACCAATGTGATTGATTTCAAAACCTAAGTAACTAATGAAGGATGTTAGAAAGACGCACTTCTTCAAATTCAGTGTTAGGTTTTCGTTTTTTAATGTAGCTAGTATTGTGCGTAAGTTCTCATTACGTTTTACTGGGAATGATGACATTATCTACGTACACCGCTGCTATCTCTCGATAACGACCCAAAAATTCTGTTCATAATTTGTTGAAATACGGCAGGAACATTGCAAAGGCCGAAAGACATTCTGTTATATTCGTATTGACCTTCAGTTGATACAAAGGAGGTGAAATGTTTGCAACTGGAATCTGATGATAGCCGGAGCTTAGATCTAAAATTGTGAATACACAGCATCCAGTCAACTTGTCTATTTGGTAGTCAATCCTTGGCAATGGAAATTTTTGTTTAATTGTTTTCAAGTTTAGCTTCCTGTAATCGATGCACATGCTATATTGTCCATCGTTTTTCGTCACCAACAGTACGGGGGATGAAAAAGGAGATTCAGACCCACGTATGATGCCTGCGCCCAGCAAATCCGACACGATAGTTCTTATCTTCTCCTTTTCAGTTTCCGCATCCTATATGGTCTGTAGGTGAATGGCTTGCCGTCATTAAGTTTTATCTCGATCTCTGCTGATTTTGCCACTCCTAGGTCATGTATTTTGTCTCAGCATAGGGAATAATAAGGTCCTTTCCAGAAAGATTTATGACTGGTATAACAGTATCCTTTTTCAGTGGAATTATTATCCTAGGTATGCAATATTTCCTCGCCGGTTCATAGGGTGCTTCACTGCAGACCATGACGTTACCCATATATTTCAGGAATAACTGTACTGTTTCTTGCAACTACAGCGAGGGAGGTTAATTAAATTCCAATTTCCGAAAATCCTTCGTCACGATAAGATCAGGTAACTCAGTAAATGGTTGACCAAATAATAGGGAAACCTGTAAATTATCTGGAACAACAAGTTCTTTCAACAGAGTCTATTTTTATTTTCATTTTTGCTTCGCCAATGGCTTTGATTGAATTTGATCCATATCCTTTAATGAATATATCACTATAATTTTTGATTTCAATATTAAGGTTTCTAGCATCTGAAATTCGAGTTATATTGCAACTTGACCCAAAATCTACAAAAGCCTGAAGTGGTTTCCCATTCGCAAAAATGTGTTTATAATATTCTCTATTCACGTCTGTCTCTAGTCATAACACTCATTCTGTAGGATTACCCTGCTGGTTATTTTTCTGTTGGCGTTACCTGCAGTCCTGGGCTCGGTGACCATATCCATGGCAGTTGAAACACTTTGTTGCCCTGCATTCAGCAGCTCTATGTTTTTGATTTTGACATTTGTGGCTGATGAGGTTTGATTTTGTTTTGAGAATTGCATGTTTTTTTGGCTATTTCTGCTTTTGTCTTTGGTGTTCTTTGAATGGAATTGGGGTCCATGCTGAAGAAGTACTTGGCCGCGATATGTCACATATTTTAAGGAAGTTTAGCAGAGCTTCACAGGTTGGGTAATCATTTGCTCTGGCAGCTGCTTATACATTCGCGTCTGGTATTTCTCCAATAATACAGAAGATAGCTCCAGAATCAACTATTTTGCACTCATTCATCAATGCTACTTTCTCATATTAATATACAATATATGATTTCCCCCTGCATTAAGTCCGCTGCATCATTTGTTGCAAGTCTTGATGGAAATAACGTCTCGGTGGAAAAGCCTTCTTTACCTTAACCTTCCACTCTTCCCAGATATAGTTTATGATTGGTAAGCTATGGTACCAGGTACTAGCAAGACCTGTTAGCTTGGTAATAGCATTATGAGCTGTCGCTTCCTTACTCCAATTGAAGAGATTCTTTAATTGATCGATTCTCTCGCACCATTGCCGATTTTCTGAATCGAAAGTGGGTACAACATTTTTCTGCAAAGGGTTTGCAATCTTTTCGATGGATTGATCAGTAGTAATATTCATCTCCATTATTCTAACCAGATCCTTCATGACGCCTGCTAAACCTGATATTTCACTTTCATCAGATGGAATTAGTGTACTGGTACTTGACATTGGTTCATCCTCATCCAAAGACGATGACATCGGACGAATACGTTTTCGTTTTTGGAGAATTTGACCCTTGTTTCCTGCCATCGCTTTATTCCAATGTTAATCCAGACAGAAATTTGTTATAACAAATCACACACAAGATGAAAAGTATTGTTTGATTAATTGATAAATGAAAGTTTTCGATAATTCCACAAACTCGAATTCACGCAAATGCCCATGATCACTTCAAAAATTAATTTTTGTCTCCGCGGTAATTGCACCCAAGGACACACACAATTACTGGTAACACTTTCTCTAATTTTGAGTAAAAAGAACCCTTCAATGAATTCAGGTATCAGATGACAGGTATCAACAAGGGTATAACGGAAATGTAGTAGGAAGTAAATAGATAAATCCCACTTCTGAATGTAATAACTAACCTTTTTTGAGTCTCAATGACAAATTTTTAGTGGGTTTTCGCAATGCAGGTTCCTTAGTTAAAATAATGCCGGAAAAGATTGTCAGGAACCATATGAAATAAAATAAACGAATTACTGTTCCGGTATACTAATTATTAAAAATACAATTACTCACGGGGGGGTTTCACCGCCCCTTGCCTCTTGGTCATTCTGGCATAACATTACTAAATATTCCTGGTTGAAAATATAATTAAAATAGCAGGATTAATCTACACTTGTATCTTCTTTCTTCGACGACTCGCTAGTGCCCCCCTAAAATAAGTCAAGGCTTTCCCGGATACTTAATTGCGGATACTTAATTGCCGTTAAGTAATCAGTATCCCAACAAATTGGGTATTGTGGTGTTTGCTCTACTCCCCTATACCTATTTGAGTCAAATCAAGTTGCAAGTAAGGCCCCCAAACTTACAAGACACAACTTGAAGGAAAGGCGCCCATACCAGCGTATTGCTACACCAACGTGCAATACTTGTACACTCATTATGGTACATTTCCATGAGTTTCTACACCAGCGTGCAATAAATTATGATTCTCAAATATCAGGTTATATACAGTATACCTCAATAATAATAATTTATATCGGCCAAAGGCTTACCAAAATCCGTGTACAGGGTGCTGCAATTTGGAGTGTTTTAACAGGAAAAACACACTTCCAGACCAGATAGAGGAAAATTGACTTAGATGTCATGGGATCGATTTTCGAGAAACGTCGATTGTCAAAAACCGTATCGCGATATCTTCAATGGTACCATTAATACAGGGCGATTTTCGATTTTCCCCTTTTATGAAAAATGGCTATAAGTTTTTTATTTATCAATTTTTTTCATTTCTGGAAAAACATTATGGAGACACTTTTTTGAGCACAATCCAGTGGCGGACTCGGTTTTTTTCTATATCGCTCCGATTTCGAGATATCGACCAAATTCCGATATTTTCAAATGAAACATCCTTTATATTAATAGCTCATTGGATAGCTCTGTTTCTGCTGATTTCAATGATATAAAGTTCGATAGGTTTATCTGTAACAGTTTTCCAGAAAAAAAATTATATCTGTTTCAGTCATAAGAAACAATGTGTTAGAAAGAGACCTTTCTCACTTTCCTTACACATATAAAATCCTTTTCTAACACATTGGTCCTTACGACAAAAACAGATATAATTTTTTTTCTCGAAAACTATTAGAGACCCAAGCAGCAATTTAACGTTGCGGCGACGTGTTTGAAAAAGTTGCGCAACCAGACAGAAGTTGCGTAAAGGACCTTGTTACAATGTTGTCACAACCTTGTTTTGCACCAATTTGGTCAATCATTTTTGAGTTTTCGAAACGTTCCAGTTTTAACTGTAGTTAGCAGTTGGTCGTTTCCTAAACGTTGCTGTATTTACTTTTAAACAACTACACACCTGCGCCCTCTCTCATGGCGATGACAGTTTACTTTTTGTTGTGTTTAGGAAATGGTAAATTTTTCAACCAAATATTCACTGATGGTCAAAATGGACACTTTCTTTCAACTTACTACCGTATCTAAATGTGTTATTCTCATGCTTCAAATACCTTATTTATATTGCCGAAAAAAGACGATACACAAACAGAAATCAGCAACGCATATCACTTTACTGATAAATATACTATGGATTTATGCTAGAAAACACGCGCGCCTTCAATCCGTTGCAAATTTCTCAAAACTCAAAAATCAAAATAAAAATTGAAAAAAAAATTAGATAACCAATACTTGAAGTTGATATCGCTTCAAACGCTAGCTAAACCGGAGGCATATGAATGGTTCCTAGAAAACTAAAAACCGCTTTATAATCCTTTGTTTATACCTGTTAATGCACCAAATTTCAATGGCCGGGACCATGTTTCCACACAAAATACACTTTCAACATGGCGGAGGAGTATAATAGGCGTCAACGCGACTTTGGATATCAGATAACTAAAAGATATACTAACTTTAAACGGTAGTCTGCCAGAAAACTAATTTTTTTCCCGAGGCGTGACTGGAGTTGCTTATCGGACCAAAAACTGAACTGAACTGAGTTCAACTTACTCCAAAATACACAATTTTCGATCGCGCCTACGTGCCTCTCCGTCCCATTCAGTTGCCGTATTAATATTATTATTTCTTCCTCTAGTCTAGTCTAGATTGATTATTGAGTTATTTCCTCATGATTGAGTTATTTATCCGGCATCAACTATTGTTTCTCTGGAAAATTAGTTGCTTCCCCTACTTATATTAATTCTTCATTCAGATTCGCCCTCGAGTTGGCATTTGTTCCTGGAGAATTTAAACCTAAGTTCTCGGATCTGTCTGTCTTCATGTATTCTTGTGCCCCTGAATTTTCTTCATGACATAATTATTTTTTTGTCAATATGAGGCAGTTTACCTGAAGGTTCAAGGCTCGTTTCATTTTTAATTTGATGGTCTTCAATGACTTTTTTATTTTGAGGTTGTATTTGAGAAAAGGTTAGTTGAAGAGGTATCTCCGCGGAAACGTTTTCAATTTAACTGAAAAACTGACTACTGCTTAGTTGAATATTACAAGGTCCGATCTCCGTCGAGAAAACGTTTAGAATAACTCAAGTTGTCACCTGAACGTTGTCAGAACGTTATTCCCATACCCAAAATATTGACTTATTGTAGTCGGTTGCGTAAACGTTGTCACAACCTCGTAGTTTAACTAAAGTCCTGCGCAACACTAAGACGACGTTGTCCAGATGTTTAGAGAGCGTCGTTTCGTAAATCCCTAAACTCTACACTAAGTACAACGTTAATTTTGGTGTATTATGTGGTTGTCGTCGTCAAAATGCTACTTGGGGATAAACCTATCGAACTTTATATCATTAAAATCAGCAAAAGCAGAGCTATCCAATGAGCTATAAAAATATAGGGAGTTTCATTTGAAAATTTCGGAATTTGGTCGATATCTCGAAATCGGAGCGATATCGAAAAAATTCGAGTCCGCCACTGGATTGTGCTCAAAAAAGTGTCTCCATAACTATTTTACATTCAATTTAATCATGCAAATGATTAAATTGAATATGAGACCTCTTTCAAATTCAGAATTAGGATATTTTTGCTTTCCATACTGTAATATGATTTGAATGAGGTTTCAAATAACTACCTACCCTATATTTATAATGATTGATTGCAATACTTTATGTTCATTTTATTTAATTTTTCTACCAGCATATCCATTGTATGGTAAAATCGAGAGTGAAATAATTAAATTTTGAGCATTATTTTATACATATTGCCTCTTAGTTTGAAGGTCTTAGATATAATATATCATTGGATTTATTTCTTGACAATAAAGAACATTCTCTTTCTTTCTTTTTTTGTTTGTCTAATTTTTAATAATCTACTTGCTCACCCGGTGAACTTCGTACCCCTTCACGACTCAATGAAAGTTGTGTTAACTCATAAGTTGAATTAAATTCAGTTTTTCATTAAGATAAAATAAATACTCAATTACAATTGAGTTTAATAAATGTATTGAAATTGAAGCGCTATTTTATTCAAATCAATACTTGGAGCATTTCCTTTTGCGCATCGAAGATTATCGAGTAGTTGATCAGCCGTTTGACGTGCTGCCTGTCTTTGTTCTTGTGTTTGTTAAGCGCGAAGACGGGCCATCCATACCTACTGATGCGGCGCTCTTCCCGTACTATTTATTGCTCAGCTGCAGTAGATTGATCCGTAATATTCCCAAGTCTAATTGCATTACGGCTTCGCTATGAAAGATTAGATCTTTTGGACCGCGGCATGATTAATAACCCTTGAAAATTAATGATGGAATTCAAAATTTCATAATGAAGAAACCGATATAAATAGTGTCAGGGATTCCGGGTTTACTAAAACTCACTTCACAAACAGTAACAACTTTTATTAAACTAATTGACATACAAAATTTACCTATCATTTATCGAGACATACACCACAAATATCGAATTATAACTGCCTTTCACTTAATACTACTGCGCCCTATTCATAGCAAACCAGCTGGCAGAATCGCATTTTGTAAGCCACGAAAACTCCCTTTATCATTAAATTTAAGGGTTTCCATTTTAGTTAATCGCGTATTTCACTTGCTTTTGCATACTCAAACTCTCTCGGTAAGTATCGGAGATAGAAAGAAAAATTAGGATATAAAAATTGTAGTAAATTTTATGCTCTATAAAGCTTGTTGAAGCTACTCCGACTAAAATTAGCATTGGAAAGAAGATATACATAAATGTACTTGGAATAAAAGGCTTGGCCGAGATTATGATGGCCATTTTTTTCAAGATGCGCATCTAACTGGAGCTTCACAACAGGAGACCAGTTTATGAAGGTTAGGTTAGGTAAGGTTTTGAAGGGTGCGCCCTACAACTGTAGAACTTTCACTCGGAGGCCTATTGGCTCATTGTGTTCCCCTCTTCAGGATGTTTCCCTCCAAAATCTTAAACATGTTCCTCCTTTTTCCGTTTTGTGCCAGTGCATGGTTTTTGCGAAGTTCAGTATTTCCCTTATATTTCCTGCGTCTTTCAGGTCCTCCAGGAAACTTTGCCCCATGTAGGTAGGCGTTCCTCCTGTAG